TTCAATTTTTATTAGGGGGAAATTTTATTGTAATTCAATATAAGCAGGATCTAGTGAGCAGCAGCAGCAGCAGCAGCGCCAAGTATTGGTAGCTCGTAAAAATTTGTCATTAATTTTCTCTTTTTTTTTTACTTTTTAGCTCACTACTTAGAGCAAATTGCTTTGGCCGAATACAACGAGAGAAAGCATATAATAAATATTTCGCAAGCGGAAAACGGTAAATTTTCATATAAAAGTATCTCTTTTACAACCGTTAGTTAAGCACACAGAAAAAGGCGCAGACAGCAATTTTTTTGTTTGTCAATTACTTAGGTATTTGTACGATATGCACGTATTTTTATGTGACTTAGAAGCATAAAACGACTTATATCGTTTTTTATGATTGTGTTTTCATGATTAGCATAAAATTTGGATTTTTTTTTATCACACAATTTGAAAATTGAAAAAATTTGCTCACCTGACGCTCTAAGGCTTTTTCGAGTGGTACAAATTGAAGCTATTTTCTTGATGCATTTTAGTCACAAGAAATGCATTAAAATTGTTGAACGAATTACGTCACGAAATCACTATTCACATACATATACATATATGTTCCGCGTAGGCAAAAGGTCTATTCATCCTGAGCAAAATTGTAATACTAAAAATTTGTCTAATGACATTTCCATACCGCCTTGACTGTCGCTAACATAATTTCGAAAGTTGACTTTATCGGTAGAACGATTTGTTTTCACTCATCGGGGACATGTTCCAATTTCGTATGGTCACATACAACACAACATTTTCCAAGCCTCCTATTAAGTAATTGTCGTAATTTCAATTGACCGCAATTTTCAAGATGTTTTGGTGAAATTCGGTACATGGATGAGTTTTGGCAGACGAACGAATTCTTTTCAAAATGTTTCGGATTGAAACAATTCCTCGATTACTTCTCATATAAAAACTCTCATTCCGAAAAGTCAATCTATGGATAATTGTAGCGTGATGTAACGTATTTAACGGTATTGTTACAATGGTTTTACATGTCACATGTCTTTAAACATAGTAAGACTAAGTTCACTACTCTTAAAACGGCAACACGGCGAACGTGACAGGTACATTTAAATCCTATTCGAAGGCCGAACAAGTTGGAAATCGGTGGAAACGCCTAAGATGGTGTAGCTGTCATATTTTCTTTGTGTCTTTTATCCACAGTTCTGCTTACCCCATTAATCAGGTAATTAGTTATGGAATCCAAGATATAGAAATTTTCTTATGCGGACCACTGGCGCATCCAGTGCATTGCACCGCGGGTTAAACAGAGACTACAATATGTTAATTAGTACTACGGAAACTACAATATTATTTCGAGAGATCTTTATACCTCATACCGCTTGTGGGGCAATGGTTTGTTAAATTTGTGGATAGGTATTTAATAACCAGAAGTATTTACGGGCGATCCGCTTTTTTTGAGGCCGGTAGATTTAGAATCCTTTTCTGAATCGATTTAAGCCAGTCTGTTCATCTGCCCTTCTGATGTCTGTCTGTGTATTTTCTGCAATTTTTGGAATGTATTAAGGAAATTTAGTACGCAGACCTGCTTTGTCGTAATGATAAGCTCTAACGAAAATGGACTGAATCGCATAATAGAATCGTGTGGACGTGTATGAGAGCTGAGCGTCTAAAAAATCTTTGGGGGGCATTTTCTGGCTTTAATGTAATTACATATATAAGTTAACTTAGTCCTTGGTGGTTTTTTTCACGTTCGTTCTTTTCAAATTAGAATGTCAGGGAAGGCATATCAAGCTAGAGTTTTATATCTCAATTTTCACGTATCTTTGTGAGCTTAAACAACGTCTATAAATATAGCTAGTGGTTGTACAATGCTGCATCGAGTCGAAACTTCCCTCCCAGTAAGAGCCCGCTTGCTTTGAATCTGGTTACTTGCTGAAAATACAACTTGACTCAAAGGTTATTGTTAATTAAAAAAAAAAAAAGGGTAAGAACAAGTAGCCATGCAAGAGTTGTCACATTTCTGTTTCATTATTTTATAACTGTTGAGATTTTTAGTTGTTATATTTTTTGCTTTAAATATATTCACTACGTGTTATAGCTATACTCAAAAATTTTATTTTAATATCGTTTTAAACTCTCTTGGTAAAGATGTATAGGAAAAAACAAAGATCGCGTTTAAATTCCTATTCCTCATTGCGAGACTTCTGCTATTCAGCAGCAGACACAATGAGAGATTTTAGAGAATGTATGGAGGGGAGCATACCGGACATAGAACAGTGTTCACATGGTGGAACCATGCCGAGAGCACAATCGTGTCACAATTCGGAATGTGATGGAAAACTTTCACGGTAAAATTATTGGCTTGATAAAAACGCTTAAAAATCGGAAACTGAATTTCTCTTTATGGAATTTAGAACGGAATTATTAATAAAGGATTATTTAGAGTTCAAAGCCGCCCGTTGCATACAGCGTTTCGTACGCGGTTGGTTAGTACGAATCTTTATAGCCAAACAAATACGTGCGGCCATTATTATTCAAACTGAATGGCGTCGCTTTTATTGTCAACGTTTGTACTTTCGTAAACTGGAAAAGCTTATACAGCAACATATCGAAGAACATTATTTCCGTGCAGCTCAAAAAATTCAGGCAATATATCGCGGATGGTGGTCGCGTCAAAATGTTCACGATCACGCTCGTTTAACGCGTTTGTCCACTTGGGCCGGGGAGGATTTATTACACTGTGTAGCCTTCAAGCTGCATCATTTGATACGTACTTATGCCATACCTGGCGTCTACTCGCTAAAGAACAAAACGTAAGTTAAAGACCGATTGGGAAAATAAAAGTTTACATTCAATTTCTTTTCTCATATACGGATTTTTTAGAACTCTTTCTAAAGTCGAACAACTTTTAGCCAGCTTAAGTTATAAGCAGTGCAACGATCACTCTCAAGAAGGGAATCGGCAACGAATTCATCAGATATCTAGTGCCAAAAAACATTTTGAAGGTTCGAAATTCGCTACACAAATACCATACGCAGGCCTTGATATGTACAATCTATGTGCGCAAAAGTATCAAACATTATTTTCTGAAAAGGACGCAGATCGAAAAATGGCGAAAATATTGCAAATGTATGCATTGGCGCATCGTGAAGATCCTAGAGTGATTAAAATCCGTCATGGAAGTAAGCGCACTCGAAAGAGTCTTCGATGTTTTGTAAATTTCGCCCATTTACCAAAAAGGGAAACTCTTGACCAAGGAAATGTCTTAGCACTCGTTAATAACATAAATCAATTCAAGTTATATCCAAAAATTTTAATTCGTATAAATCTTGAAAAGAGCAACGAATTTTTTTTTTAATCGATAGATATAGTCGATTTCATGTTCGTTGCTAAATTCTGGATAAGTAACTTATAAAAATATATATCTAGTTTAGTATTATGTTACTTATCAGTGCTAAGACCCATGTCAGAGATATGGGTTTGTGCAGATAAAAGGGATTTAATATCATTTTCATTATTACTATATCTTTGCAGAATCGACTGGCGCCTCTCTTGTCTGCTTACCACCTCCTACTACGTTTTGCGGCGACATCATACGCAGCATGAAGAGGTGGAAAATAATCAAAGAAAGCAATCTAACCGTTGACAAAAATATCCTTGAGCGTCCCCAGAATGTTGAAAATTTTCTAAAAGAAATCCACTGGAAGTGGAACAAGTTACAAGGCAATTGCCATTGCGAACAAGCATTCATCAAAGAACTTGAAAAAGGCAACAAATTTACCGGCAGTTGTCCGCCAGTCTTGAATTAAAATGAAAAAATACTCTTCCCTTTTTTGGAAAACTCTCATATAATAAAAAGAAAACATTCTTGACCTTAACCATGAATAATACATGTATGCGTATATGCGTGAAATTGTAAGAGAATAATTTTTAAAAAAGCTCCAAGAGATTAGCCAGCGTATTGTAAAGTTAAAGGCAACCGTACATATTTGTTTGAATCTTGTATACACATCGGATCAAAATCATTTGCTATTTCGTTCAAGCGATTGTCATTGTTGGCGGAATAACACTAACACATCTGGAGGAAGCAGAAACTTATTCCGAATTATCGCTATCAAGCTTTCTTCACGAAGCAGAACGTTCTGACGATACATTCCTTGACTTCCGTTTTGAAGGTTTTCTATCGTCTAGAAAGCTTGCATAAGTTTTGCAAGCTATTCAAATTTATTCTCGAAATTCAGCCTAAACCCGTTATAATATTCTTTGTCAAGGGCAAATAGAAAAGCAAGAACAGTCTTGAGTAATCCGGATTATCCTTACTCTTAGACCGTTCTATGACTCGGTTGCTAACTGTCTGGCTACGAGGTCAAACTGTGTGCTTATACCATCATACGAAAACTCAACACCCGAAGCTTAAGGAAGGGATGAGAAGATGAAACGGCTTTCGCTCTTGACTGAAGGGATTTATTGATTAGTAAAATTTAAGTACTTTACTAAACTTAAGATCATACAAGAATTATATAGCTACGTTGTTTAGGACCTAGTTCATAATGGCAACAATGTAATTCGAGCTTATCAATGTAACATTCGAGCTTATCTGTTTAGGATGCCTCCTAACCGTTTAATTAAATGAATTAAATTAGGATTTACTAAGCATAGAAGGGGAATCTACTGGATGACATCATCATTGCAAAATACTCTATATATTTAACTTTAAAAATAACCTCAATTATTTATCCATTTTGCAAGCGGATCCTCTCGCTAGTGTTAATAAATGTAACTGCGCTGCTTTACAAGCAATAGGAACAATAACAACAACACTGCATGCTTTCGTTTCTCGCTTTTTGCGACGGAGAAAATTACAGAAGTAGTTTCATATTTTATATAACTAATTAGCACGGCAACAACAATATATGCAGGGAGTTTTCAGTGTGGGGTTGCGATAACTTTTAAAGAAACTGCATAACAAAGAAAGGCTTGAAAGAACTTTAATCTAATGCACAGGCAAGAAAACTCTTCTTTTCCTTATTTCCCGTTTGTAACAGAAGTTATTAATTTTCTGTTTTCTCCTTTCTTAGATATATCCTCAAGCTCTTCCATCAAACTAATTTCATGCTATCTTTAGTAAGATTCAACATAAATCAACAAGGAAGTCTTATACGCTGGTTTTCTGTGTCTGGGACGGATCATGAACCGCGGTGAGAGTTTCTTTCGCTCGTTCGAAATAAATAATAGGCTCTATCTGCACTTCGATTGTTTAATTAAGTGGATCTTAGTTATGAAGTTTCGAAAATTGCTTTACATTTACTTTACATGTTATTATATAAGAGTTTCTCCTTCGAATTAATGATTTAGATTTGAAATAGACATTTCTCTTTACACATAACTCTTCTTGTTAGATAAGGGGGAAAAAGCCGACAAATCTTACTAGATTTCCTCCTAGATTCGGGGATAATTAGTGTTCATCTGTAAACCTTTGCTAACAAACCCTTAAATTACATTGTAAAGAGAAATTTAGTATACAATAGGTACACGCGTACACGGTAGCTGCTTGGAAGAGCTTTTTCTTCCAATTGATTCTAAGACCTATTTTCTTAATTCTGAGTCGGTATCCATGTTCTAAATATCTACTATCACACAATGCATTCTGTTCATGATGGACGTGACCAACGAACAAATGGGTAGTTTAAAAAAAAAAACAACAGCTATAAGAGTTAATTTGGCCGTCTGGGTATCACTTGTCAATCCAGATTGCAATTTTCGAAATATCTTAAGGCTAAGGTGAAAGAAGAAATTTTGTCCCATTCATATTTTTATGACAATGACATCAAAGATTTTGATTGTGGTGGGTATGCAAAATTCGGCGAAAGACGAATACAACTTTCCTACTTGTTTCAAGTTTTAATTCTCAGTGCTGTACATGTATGACATAAAGTGTATACGTTGACTTTTGCGTTTCAATAATGAATGGAAAAGCACAAGAACATATATATGCAGTCGTACATATATCGATTAGATGGAACTCTTGTATTTAACTATGGTTGTTGTAAAATAAATGATCATTCTTCTCATCTTTCTCTTCTAATGAGAATAATTGTTTGCAAAATTTCAAAACTTTTGAAGGAGTCCATAATGATGATGAATAAAGTCGAATCTTGCAAAATGATATTATATACATCATCCTTTTGTTTTAAATATATATATCTATATAAAGGACTCCAGTGAAATTGCTACGATATCATATAAAAATCCACTTTCTTATAAGAGGTACCTTTTCTAGTTAAAACATTAACTGACATTTTGAAAAATTGTACGCAAAGTTTTAACTTTCAATTGAAGGAAATTTCATTAAGAAGAAAATATCAATAGGAAAATAGGCAGAGTTCTAGATATATATTTATATATTCTTGCAATTTCAATATCCTTGTTGAAATAGAAAAATTTCCTAAACCTCGTTTAAAAAAAGCATTTACCCAAAAATGAATAAAAAGAATCAAAGGACACGCTTAAATTCCTTTTCTTCTTTACGACACTTTTGCTATTCGGCCACAGGCCTAGGCCAGAACTGGAAAGCATGTCTTGAGGAGGAAATCAATTTAGAGGATGAATATGGGGATTGGGGTAGCGATGAATGCTTGGAATTGAAGCAACAAGCTCTGTCACGGTACACTGCATACCTAATATGAACGCTTATATACTAAACTTTATTCCTTCTCATTGCTGTTAGCACAAAGATGTTAGTAAGAGATTATTTTGAATTCAAAGCCGCTCGTTCCATACAACGTTTTGTACGCGGATGGTTAATACGTAATCGTCTAGCCAAACGAATTCGTGCTGTTATTATAATTCAAACTGAATGGCGCCGGTTTCACTATCAGCGTTTATATTTTCGCAAAGTGGAGAGACTTTTGCAGCAACGCATTGAGGAATATTATTTCCTGGCAGCTCAAAAGATTCAGGCAGCATTTCGTGGTTGGTGGTCTCGCGAGCATATACACGATCATACTCATTTAATGCGATTACATATTACGGCCGGGGAGGATTTGTTGCATTGTATAGCCTTTAAGTTGCATCATTTAATTCGTACCCGTGCCATACCTGGTATTTATTCGTTAAAGAATACAACGTAAGGGAATGAAAAATGTAGAAGAGGAAAATTTTCAACCATCTCCCAACCATGCTTTTGAATTTTTCCAGAACCCTCTCTAAAGTAGAGCAACTTTTGGCCACCATGACATTTAAACAGTGCAATGATCGCGCTCGCGAGTTAAATCGGCGGCATGCGGAACTGATTCATCATTCCAAGAAACGATACAAAAAATCCCAATTTGCTAGTGAAATACCGTTTCCTGGACCAAATATCTACAATTTATGTGAACCAAAATGCATATCGTTGTATTCCGATAGAGATGCCGATAGAAAAATGACGAAAATTCTACGCATGTATGAAAAAGCTCAAAGTGAGGATTCTAAGGTTTTTAAATTACGTCGCAAAAGTAAGTAATGATTTCGGTAACAGAAATTTTCTCACTATACTCTTGGTTGGTTTTTTTACTATTCTCCTGGTTGACACCGATTTGAGAAAAGTGGTGATGTTGAATAAAATTGCGTGGAGTTGATGGTTAGCAATAGATAAGAAATATGAAGAAATGAAAGTTTTTTTTTAGTGATGAATATCGCTGCGTTCCTTGGAGCTCTATCCATTTGTATTGCTTTGGATGACCATATAGATAATAAGAAGATATAATAAGAGTGAAAGTTAATCACTATGTGTTGTTGTTGATACAAAATTCTTTTCAGAGGGAAAAATTCCTGCCGGGTTTCGGCATATTTGCCTGCCGCCGCCCACAACTTTTTGCGGCGACGTTGTACGTAGCATGAAGAGATGGAAAATAATCAAAGAAAATAACTTGACTGTGGAAACAAAGATACTGGAAAATCCACGAAATGTGGAGAATTTCCTAAAAGAAGTCCAGTCGAAGTGGGACATTTTACATGGCAATTGTCATTGCAAAGATGCGTTCATCAAAGAACTTGAAAAGGGGAAGAAATTCACTGGCGTTTGCTCTGCAACTTAATACATGGATTTTTATTTTTTACCTTTTAATCTTGTAAAAAAAAAAGAAAAGAATTTTTTTATTATCCTTAAAAAATTCACTGACAATAAAAAGATCAACTTCTGTCACCTGAGAATTACATTTTATGACCTGAAAATTTCCCAAGGGATTTAGGTAGGAACTGTGTCAACACATGGGAAATTTTCACGCATTCTCACTATGGGTACGATGACATAAAAGAGGGTTGTCTGTGAGGAGAGCAAACCACGGAGTAAGTTCTTATGGATTTCACTTTTGAATGGAAATTTGTTTAGTCATTTAAATGATTTTCATCGAAGAGATTCTTTCTGAAAAACCCTTAAGCGATGGGTGAAGACGTTAGAAAAATTCTTTGAAGTGCAAGCAATCGGATGAGATGAAGGACATATATATCATATTCGGTAATGGATTGTTTGGAATGAGATCAATTCCTATGACCGTTTGCTTACGATATATTCCATAAATTTTTAGTTAATCAGATTTTTAGTGGGATAACCATTTAAAAGTGCCTTATTTTCATTTAGAGAATCAATGTATTGCAGCTTCAACATTAACAAATGGTTAGAATCCTTTTTTCAGAATTAGTGCTTCAAAAAACAAGTGAAAGTTATGTCCGACTGGGGCGCAGTCTTGCATACCCAGCCACCATTAAAATATTTAATTTCTAAACTGGTTTGTATAAATTCGCTAACCTGAAAACGTACATGTTGCCTTGAATTTTCCCGAAATTTTGGGTATAGATAATGTAAATATTGATGCTTATACGGTATGTGTTTGAGCTGTTTGTGAACTGCCGTTCAGCGTTAGTAAAATTGTAAGGAGATGTCATTTGCAGGATTAGGTTTCTTTCTGTGTTTAGCTGGACTAAACTGGACAGAAGCGCAGCTGGTGCTACGGAGAGCACTAAGTTGGGTTGGAGCATATACGCTCAAAATTGTCGCCTTGAAGACAATGAAATTCCCGCGCGTCCATCTGTCTCCAGCAAAAGCAAGCCAGGAAGTGATCTGTGGTTTTAGCTGTTATCCAGTTTTGACCGCTTTCGAATATCACTTCTTTAGATCCATGCAGTTCTATTTACCAGAGCAGTAATTTCCAAAAGTTGAAGATGTATGAAAATGAGTCCCTGTAGAAAGTTTCTATCGCGAGGACGTTCGTAATCTATCCGAATAAAAGGCAAAACGTTATAGATATTGATTGTGAAAATATCTATTGTTAAGCTTTGTAACAAGCATGTGTTAAATAAGAGCGAATTTTATCAAAAAACGGAAAGTATTTATTAATGCTTGGATTGATAAATTGATTTAGAAGTAAATGTCCACAAGCAATGTCGTGGAAATTGATAATTCATCCCCATATTATCCACTAAACTACCCAAGTTCTCAACTTCAATCTGAAAAAGAATCGATATCTTCAAGAAATGAGGTCATTACAGCGAGGACATTGGGTTAAAGTTTCCTTCTACGCGAAACTATTAGTACGTGCGCAATCACGCCATATACTTAAGCGCATTAATTTAAGATAAATTAAGCGGATAAAATCTCTTGAGCAGTCCATTTCAAAATCATGGTCACACCTTTTTCACACCTTTATTTTAGTGAATGTATATAAAATACCGTGAGAGGCATTGTTAATAAAACGCTCTACGTATCCATAAACCGAGAGGCATCTTCATTTTCCGAGAAGCCCTAAGTAGACGAATATGCTGTAAGATCTCCTTGCTTCAGTGGAAATCCGATCATTACTGTATGTGAAATGATAACATTGATGTATATATATTTTCCAATTGCAAGCTTTAATATTTGAAAGAAGAAAAATTAACTTCAAGATATAAGAAATACCTATGATTTATTAGAGCAAAGCAAGCAATAGCAACAGTATGTGCGTTAATCTCTTTTTCTGATATGACAACAAACTAACAAAAAAAAAAAAGTTTTACTTTCTAAATAAATGACCAGAGCAAGTACAACATACGTTACATAGAGAGAGTTTTCATAGTGCAGATGCAGTGACATTTAAAAAACGTGCGATAAGTAAAAACTAAATAAAAACACAATTTCCTCAATGCTTTCGCTGCGTCCCTCGTATTATTAATGATTATTGTCCGTGGTCTTTGACAGAAATCGATGAGTGATTACAACACAGTGTGGGGTCCTAATAAAGAAAGATAGAAAAAAGAAAAGCAAACGACCGGCAAACTTTTCTTCTAATATTTAAGTCTCTGTTGATTTCCTTCTTTCCTTTTTTTATGGTCATAAACTGAAATTGAAATATCACTATATCTCTTTTAATTGCCAAACAGAGTAGTAAGCAAGTTTGTATGTTTATGCCCACATATGACATAGAGATAAGTAAGCGAAAGACATTTGATGCTAACTTTAATGTTCCTCTTTATTGCTATGTGTAAGTGAGCGTTTGTCGTTAGAAATCTTTGGCAGCGTATTTTTTGATATAATTTTTTTTTTTCTTTTATAAACGATCTTGGAAGCAATGCGCATAGTAGTAATTGCAAGCATTTAATTTTATAACCCTCACCGAAGGATGGAAGTATGTTCAATTTGTAAGTATCAGAGAATCCGCGCAATAGCCTAAGGTTATGACGGCCAAGACCGTCTATCCCTCTGTCGGTTATCGAAACACTCATTACAGATAAAAGTTAAGATAAATGGGTAACAAGATTATAATGAGCAAACTGTCGGCTTTTCAAAATAAAGCATTATATGGAAAGTGGTCGGAAAATTGGTCCGAACCGGGCTACTTTCAATAGCATTTCATCAAAATGTCTTAAAAATTGCGAATATAAGACGCACAGACTGACGAGGCACCTTACGAATGAAAGATGGGTCCATCTCAAATCCTTCTGAATGTTGCATACATCTGCGTACATTTAATATACTCTTGTACCAAAGTCATGTAAGGTATAAAAATGGAGTTCGCATATCGCCTCTTAATTGAGGATGATTGCTCGGGTTTGGAAATAAACCTGACTATTCCATGACTATACCTGCGATGGAAGGTGTTGCTACCTAATTGACACAAAGTGTTTACAGGCACTACTTTAACTTTCCATAAGAAACTAGGCGTGATCCGCCTATGAACAAACAGCATAGGAAACGAAATAATTAGAATTCAAGCAAAGCCCGTATAAAAATTTTCTGGGAGATTATTGAACGGATAATAAAAAATTGGTTCATATCTATCAAGTACCACATACTTTTCTATGAGAAGCAGGATACTTCAGATCCACTTCATTTTCTTGTCTGTTTAAAATTCTAACAGTCGACATTTATAGAAAGTTTTGTAAAACATTTGATTCAATTTTAAGTTGATATCATACATAGGAACAGGAATATGGTGGAATTTTGAAAAGGACTAATCAACAATAAAATCTAATAATTTCCAAGCAAATAACGAGCGATGTCTTTGTTAAAATTTCTTTCCATTTTTTTAACACTCAACATTGCACATTTACCACATAAAATTTGAATGGATATGGATCGAAACGCACTTGCATAACACTTTGATTTAAAAATACTTCGTACGCGCTTTGAGAAAAAAAAAAAAATTGAAGTTTAAAAATACTTTCTACGCGATTTGATTTTGGTTGATAAGGCAACACTCACCTCCATCCAGTTTCGCGAAACTCTCGTAACTGGGCCTCCGAAAGTCAAACAATTTTTTTAACTTTATGACAGAAATTTTGGTGCGGTTTTACGCTGGTTTAGTAGGGATATACATCTTCATAAACACTGGTAGCTCAACCGATAAGATGTTGATAGACTGAAATTGATGGTATGGAAGCCTGATGTTAAAATGGTTTTACAAAAGCCATAAAAATCAAAGTGAAAAAGTAGAAGTTAAGCGACAAAATAGCAGCGCATTATATACATATATAGGTATGTGCATTTATAAATATGTATACATACTCGTATATATATATATTAGTTTGGGGAAAAAGAAATCTATTATTTTTTCGGTAGATGGCTGCACTGATAGATTTCTCGTAAAGTATCGATCAAACAATTTCAGATTTATGCTCGTTGGAAAGGTGACATTTCGCAGTAAAAAATTCTTTTGCTGTTTTTGTTTGGTGCATTCAGTTGTGAGTTACAGCGTGTTAAAAATGGAAGTGAACAAAGAGAAAATTCGGCACATTTTACAGTTTTTCTTTGACAAAGGCGAAAATGCAAGCCAGGCGGCTAAAATTGTGAATGGTGTTTATGATTCCGATACTGTAACAGCCAATTATGTGCAATTTTGGTTTCGTAGATTCCGTTCTGGAATTTTTGATGTTAAAGATGCACCTCGCACAGGTAGGCCGGTCGTCGAAAATGTCGATAAAATCGGAGAAATGATCGAAGTTGACCGGCATGTTAGCAGTCGTAACATCGCCCAGGAGCTAAAAATCGACCATAAAACAGTTTTAAACCATTTACACAAAGCTGGATTCAAAAAGAAGCTCGATGTTTGGGTGCCACACCAATTATTAGAAAAAAACATGATGGATCGAATTTCCATCTGCGAAGCCTTGGCCAAACGGAATCTAGGGAGGATTGTGAAAATCGACTACTAGAGTTTTTTGCAAATAGAGACCAGGACTTCTATGAGAGAGGCATTTTGAAGTTACTTTTAAAATGGCAACAAATCGTACAACAAACGGTGCATATTTGACCCAAATCGTACAATCCGAAGCATGTTAAATAAAGTCCTGAAGTTCACATAAAAATAATGGATTTCTTTTTCCCCAAACTAATATATACGTATATAAAATATGCATGTGACACATCACTTAATAAGTGCGGGGAATGGCATATAGATATCGCCACTGTTAACGAATCCATGTGCTTTTTGGATGATGGTAGGTAGTACGAAATGTTCCAACATTTTGTTCACAATCCAGATTAAAAGATTCATTTGTAGTATATTTTTATTACGCGTCTTGCTTTTTTGCTTGTGCGTCGACCAAAGATACCATGAAGGTTTTT